CATTAGTCACAGTAATAAGTTCCTTTTCTCTAATTTGCCTTGAAAACATTGACTTCAGATGTGAAATGTAATCAAAACTACCACACACTTTTTGTGGCGTTGCTTAGTATTTGCAAAAAAAGTGGATGGAAAGTTATAGTAAATGTATTTAAATAATCAAACTGTAGTTTCTTTGTATTATGTGCAGTCTCTTGAGAACATTTCAGTGCATTTCTGCTCTGTTCTCCTCCTTGTTTGAAGGTAACTCACATTCTTCGACTTCTTTTTGTTTGTGAAATTTTCTCCTCTTTTTTATCTACTCAGTTCTCCATCTGCTTTCACTTTTGTTTGCTTGGGCCGTCTCTCATCCCAACTTGATAATGAGGAATGCAGTGTGACCCTGACCTCTATCAGCCCATGCATGACCTTCTGACTCGCCCACATAACCTTTAACCTTCTCTTTGACAGCTTGATTAATTGCCCTGTGTTATGATTTATGAGTAAGTGCTATATAAAAATAATAGACAACAGGTGGTCCTCTGAAATCTTTTTGTGGTACGTTTTCTTTTCCTGCCTAACCTGATGAGCTGTTTTAAGTTTGGAACTTAGCAGGACAAAGTGTGTTTGACAGAAGCATGGCATTTTTACGCACTTGGACACAGTGCTGGAATTCAGGCGGCTGAGGTATATCTGGGATGGAAATATCACAGTGTTAGCAGGGTTCAGTTGCCAAAATGTACATTGGGTGGAAACAGAAAGCAGAATCAACTGACACTTCAGGCGTTTCAGTCACAGGTCACGTCTTGAGAAAATTACTCAAATAATGGAGGGGGCATTTTTCAAGCTGAGCTGCATCTCCAACAGCTATGTTTACTTTAACGCTTCACTAGTGACTTCTGATTGGTTGTCATGACCTCATCTTGCTATTGCACCTACAATGTCACAATAGTGACATAGATGTACCCTTCTTGCAGTAAAGATGGGAAATGAACAGACCATACATCTTTCAGAAAAATGAATGGACATTGCTGTATCTGTTTTAACCACAGGCAGGTTTAAGAACAGAGTGCTTTGAGTTGCATTTCTCCAAGGAATTAGTTCTGGTCTTGCTGCCAACAGTCCAGATAGAAACCTGAACTTGAAAATTCAGGTTGATCAAGCATAGGAAAATGATCTCTTTGAAATCCTCTCTCACAATCCAAAAAGATAGTTACATAGGTCAAAAGATACCTCTCCAGCTCTGACTTCTTTTGTCACATACTGTGTCCCACCCTGGTGGATTAATATGCAGACTTGAATGGTTTCAGCTCATTACTCATGTGCCAGGCAGGTGAAATTTCAAACGATTTGAAATTTATCTCACATTTTTTGAGGTTCTTTTTTTTTTGTGCTTACCCCCTTTGAACTTCCAATAAGAGACACAAAGTACTGTCCCATTTCTGTCTCATGTTTCCATTGCAATGGAAAAGGCTCTTCTACAGTGCTCTTAGTAGTATACATATTGTAACTGAGGTTTGAGATTCTTTCCAACCCTTGACTTAGTAAGCCTGCTTTTCATTCCATCATCACAATCCTCAACCTCCAGGAGCAGCAACATGGAGAATGGTAGGAGTTAGCATAGATTAAATTTTACTTGCCTTGAAGCATTACCATGTGGGGGGAAGAGATGTTAATCGGGTGCTTTAGTCTGAGAGAGAAACTTTAATTTTGTAAATTAGAGGCTGGGAGTTCTGTTTGTCAGTGTCTGCCATAATTATAAGGTTTTACCACAGGTACACTGATGGGTGAAGTTTAATGGGGATGAAGGGGTAGTGTCTTTAAAGCTTAAGTTTTTATTATGAAGAAACTTTTTTGAGAGTGGTTTCTCTTTCTGTGCACACTGCTCACACAGGAGAAAACTTTGGTACTTAAGTCATAGGTCACTATGTTTTAATAATGATGTAAGTTCGTAATGGCTGAAATTGGTATTTTTAGTCACACTGATTTAACAATAGCAAAGTAATACATAGTAATAACACATTTAATACTTTCCAGCATGCAGGACTGTACATGGTGAAAAAAGATTAATACAGTCCTGCATGCAAAGAGATGTTTCCAAACAGGACTCTAATTTTAATAGATGCTATTTAATGAAAGTGATTTTTGTCAGTGTTAACAGTTATGCCAAAGACTGTTTCTTGTCTGTTATTAAATTTTGCTAAAGGTCTTTTTTAAGATATTAGTGGTCTTGTGTTCTGAGGTTTGCATTGACTTGCACACTTCTCAGATTCACTCTATTAGAGCTCCGCCTTTTTTTTCATTTTCTGATTGCACTGAACTTTAATGGTGTAGCTACACCCACATAAATTACTTTTTTTTTTAATTAATTGAAGTTAAAGGCCATATTGTTTACACTGATGTTACTTAGAGCAGAGTATTCCTTTTCAGTAGAAAATGCTCAAATAAAGGCTGAGGTGGAATAAGAGAAGTTGTAATTGGCTATTTATTTTTTAATAATATTTTACCAATAATTTTGGTTTTCTATGTTGATTTTTATATGTTACTCTCAAAGATTTTTTCTGGTACCATTGTTTTCTTCTTGAAATTTAGGATGCAGTAGTACAAGGGAAGGGGAGATACACCATATCATGTGAGCAAAACAGTCCAAAAAGAGATTACATTCCAAAGAGAATGACTTAGGCTTTCCCATAATAGAAGTGGGGGGAAAAATCTTAGTTTAGTTATTACTTAATTATTTTAATTCTACTGTCAGGAGTGGCCTCCTGTCTGGGAGAAATTGTGAAAAAAAAATGTAAAGCAAGTCATGTTACACTGCTTAAAATATATTTAATAAAAATCATTTAATTTATTTCTAAAATAGTGAATTTAAAAATAGAACCATATTTCACTTGTTGATGTCTACATGAAAAATTGACATTGTGTCCTCATAAAATGGGACAAATGAGTCATGTAATTTTAAGTTACAGGATCAATAACTTAGACAAATTCCACTTCTCTGATGATTTTTGTGACTGTTTTGTGATCAGGTTGAAGTGCACAGGTTTTCAAACTTCTAGATCAGTAGTGACAACATGAATTTTGCATTGTGTAGAAAACAAAACAAATCAATATACAGAATGTCTCTGCTCAAAACAAGCAGGTCAAGAAGTTGAAGAACCCCAAAACTACCAGCCTGCCAGGTACTGCAAAAACTCCAGTAACATCAAGCTCAAAAATTATCCTTTCGTCTGAGAAGTGCAGTTTAGGAAGCTTTGTAAGCCACATTCTTCTCCGTGATAAAGTTTGGACTTTGAAATTTTTCAAGCTGTAAAATTCTTGTGCTTATAGTACAGCATTGTGCATTAATATGTCCAGGCATTACGTGAACAGATTTTAAAATTTGTATTTCACTTTCTGTTTTCTTTCACCTTTCCCTATTGTTTATTTATATTTTTGCCTGTTTGTTTATATTTATCCCAGTTGAATTCATGTCAGGTAGGGCAGGGCAATCATGTGACAGGAGACCCCTTATGGTGCTGCATCTAACAAGGAGACAATTTTCTCTTTGGCCTGTTGTTACCTTTTTTGACTACATCACTTATGCCAGAGGTAGTATCCTGAATGCCTCTATTTCACCCTGTTTAGCAGAGTGCAACTGTGCCCTTTAACTTGGTTTTTGGTGGGAGGAGAAGCTCCGACAGACGTTGGAGAAGGGCACAAGGATAAGGGGTAGGAACTCCCTTTAGATGTGATTTTGATAGCTGGTCAAGTGTGTCCAGCTGTAGAAAATCAGTGAGTGACAGTCTGTCTACCTGACAGTGGCCACAATGAACTACAAGGTTTGTGAATGGCTCTACAGATTAGAATAAAGCAAGCCCAAATAAAGTATCTTTTGTTGGGGTGGACTTGGTTTTCTCTGGGCAGCTAGGTATGGGGGACCTCTTTTGATCCTCTTGCCTGGACTGAGTGCAAAATGAAGCACCAAGTGAGAAGCTGGAATAAAGCTGTTCCATTAGATAATTGATATAGATGTTTCCGAAAAGTAAGTCTTTATTAAAATTTACTTCTAAAGGATGGCTTGATTTTGACTGGGAACTCATGTTAACTTTAGGGATACATCTGTTAAATGCACATGCTTCTCTTTTTTTCCTTCCCTTTGCAATTATATCTTCCATAAATATGATTTTTTGTGATTTGCCATCATTTAAGAATTATAACATTTGATTGGCTGATTTATTCAAGATTTATTTCTCATTCATAATTTTTTTTTCTAACCAGTTCATTCCCTGAGGCAAAAAAAAATGTACCTTATATGCTCAAAAGCATCCTGCAGGTCACAAATTTGGTCTGCATTTGTTAAATATACAATAGAATCCCAGTGAACTTTTAGAGCAGATTTAAAGATGCACTAAAAAGGCAGACCCACCATAAAGAGTTGACTTGTAAGCAACACCACTGAATCAGTTTTGGTATTGATTCATTGTTACTGCTGCTATTTGCCTCTGCATAGTATGCTTATTGTCAGCTAGACAAAAGGTTTTACTATTTTAAAATGTGGTGAATAATTTTCACATGCTTTCTTTAACATGTCTATCTTTATATATAAAATCTCTCAATCCTTTTTATTTTAAAGGTTTTTACTGGCTGGGCATAAAGCTTTTTATTCATTATTGTGTAGAGTTCTTAAAGCAACCTTTTGCTTTTAGTTTCTGTATTATTTTCCGAAAAAGTCATATAAAGTGCTTATGAATAAAACAATATATTAAATTATTTTAAAGGTAAAACAGGTTACTTTTCTGACTGAAGGATGTGTTATCAGCATAAATACATGCACTGATACATATTCACACATCAATATCCCTTTAATGACAGAATACTTTAAAAAACCCTGCTATAAATTATGTGTGAAGTTGCTGAAATAAATAAAAAAGTTCTAAAGAGCATTAAAGTAAATGCAAAGCATTTTCAAGCATTAAATTCCTCTTTTCACATTTCTTCTTGTTTGTGTGTGTGTGTGTGTGTGTGTGACTCTTCTAAAACAGGAAGGCTATGGAGTAATAGTTCTGAATCCCAATGAGAACTATATTGAAGTTGAGAAGACAAAAGCCCAAATACAGCTGTCTTCTGATATCTCAGATGAACCTGCAGAAAAGAGAGAAAGAAAAGATAAAATACAGAAGGAAACAAAGAAGCGACGTGACTTCTATGAAAAGTACCGAAATCCACAAAAAGAAAAAGAAACTATGCAGATCTATATTAGAGTAAGTTTCTTTTGTTTTTGTTTGCCCTTTATTGATGCATACGTATGTTTACTGCCTATATTGGCTAATAAATAGCATGCTTTTTTAAGAACAAATACGTTACTGAGATGACATTCAAGAGTTTGTTCAGAGTTCCTGACTCTTTATTGTGTTGGATTTTTTTGTTATTTATTGATCATGGTGTTTTGGAAGTGTTAGAAAATTTCCCTCTAATTTCAAAGAGAAACTTCAAATAAACCCCAGAGGAACTCACTGGTGTTATCAAGAAAGAAATTATTTACGAAAAATTTTCTAAAAACCATTTTATAAACAGAGGTGTTCATAAGAAAGACTTTGTAGTGGCGCTTAGGCAACATACTACTTTCACATGTCATGTATGCATTTATTGTAATATAAATGCATACATGACATGTATGCCTTACATGGTAAGCAGTAGTTACAGCCTGATAGTTTTTATCACCTGTCAAATCAATAATGTATTGTGGAAAATACCAGTGTTCATCCTGTGTGGTAGCAAATTTACCCTGTAATGTATTGTTTTTATATGAGCAACCATCTATTTTGAGCTAAACTTTTGAAGGCAGATAAAAAAGGAAACTTTCTAATATATTAATAAATATTTAAGCTAGAATAATTTGAGAGTGGTATGATGAAGAAACTCTGTCCCTTGCCCTTTTCTGACTCAGTGAACCTTTGCACTTCGTAATGCTACCAGCATGGGATCATTATAACAGTGCTACCCGAGGATTTCTAATTCTGCAGGGGGCACAAACAATATTACTTGTACATTGGCTCATTCTGCTTCATGTACATACTATGCATTATACATTCCAGACTGAGTCGTACAATTTCCAAAATGCTTATTATGAACGTTAACATTTTCATTCAACGGTAAAACACATCAGTACTCCACAGTGAAGGTAAAACAATAAAAATGTGTATCATTGTGAGAAACAGAGAAAACTCCAATAAGATACATGTTAGAATCATCTTAAATTTTAATATACCTCTGCTAATTTTTTTTTTAGCATAACAATTTTGTAGAAGAAATATATACTGTGCTGGTTAGTAAAAAGGGTTAGTAACTTGGATACAAGATTGTCACTAATGCCATAAATATTTACTGTCTTTTGAAAAATACCTGTATATGGGAAACAAAGGAATACATATATATATATATTCAAAGTCACCAACAAGGCACTGTGTTTTCTGTTTGCAGCTGGTTTATACAATCCTATTCTACCCACTATCCAAACCTTCCTTCTTAAGAGGGGCAACTAGTTTTAACTTAAGGTCCATGAGAATCCACTGGACAGTGCTGGTGTTTTGTCTGAAAAGAAGTCCAGTCAGCATACATGTTCACTGTTTCGCTGTTGAAATAGAACCTTTTCTTCAAAACCTTGTTAGCAATTCTACTTTCTCATGACTCTTGCCTCATGAGGCATGAAATTTGGTTTCAGGAGGTTTGACACCCCCGAAATACAAAATATATTGTTCCATCCCATTTTCGTTTTTGCACAGCTCCATGCCTTAAATATGACTGTTGATGTTTGCTTTATTTGATTTTTCTTCAAATCAGGGAAAATAGTATATATATTAGTGGAAGTTTTTAGTGAAGGTGTGGATCGTGGTCTCCTTCCCTGGACCAATAAATTGAAATTAGGTTTTCTGATGAGGTTGGTGTTGTATTCTGAAATTATTATTTTGTGGTTTTTTTGGTTAGTAGACTCCAGTACAGATAGTTTTTTGAAACAGAAAGAAAAACATATCTGCTTTATTGTATTGCAGGACAAATCAATGCAATTTCCTTCTTATAAATTTCTGAAACAAAACTGGACCATCAGTAGGGTTCCATTTACTCTGTTGGTCAGAACTGCTAAGTCTCTAGGTGGTTGCAAGAGGTTCAATTCCATATTTGCCATTTTCTTGCCTCCCAGGCTTGAGTCCCCGTACCCAGGGACTTGTCTCCGCAGGCGGCAGAGGTTTGGGCTGGTCTCAAAGGGCAATTCAGATACGATCTCACTGTATAGTATAGCATACATTTGACTCACTAGGCTCTTAAAATAAAACATGCCATCACTCAACAGAGATACTTAAGGATGGTATATGATTTGTTATGATCTCATCAAAGAGTTTTGAAAAACCTGAGCAGGCCTTATGTGAACTTTGCCAAGTAGGAAAAAGTATGGATAGACTAGACAAAAAATTTCCTCACAAGAAGGCTTTAACTTATCTAGGATGGAAGGAAAAACATGGTTGTGTCAAATATGCTGGAGAAATTGTTTCAGTCTGTTAAGCAGAAGGAATAAATATCCTCAGTTATGTTCTCTTAGGGTCACTGAGATCTGTTGTGATCTAATGAGGAAATGCCATTTGAACAAATTAAAACTGTCTGGTTGATGTTCCCACTTGTGCAGCTAGATTTTCCAAGAACTGGAGAATTAGAACTCTACTTTGGTAATTATGTTTAAGTATTTTCTTTATTTTTATAGTGAAAAAAAATGGCTGGGCTATTCAAGAATATGTAAAAGCTGAATCTCAAAATACAAAATATCGAACTGCACTATATTTTTGTACAAAATGAATATAAATAAAAACTACTATGGCAGTGTGTAATGCATTAAGCATAGTGCTCTTGAAAGATCAAAGTACTTACTGTTTCATGCTGGAAGTTTCCTTAACTATGAAATAATGTACTTTCTGGCATACATTATGGCTTGTTAAAGGAACTGATTTGGTCTGGGTAATAAACATCATGTCAAACATTATGGCAGGAAAACCTGCTTAATATGTTTTGCAATAAGACAGATTTTTTTGTTCTTGAAAACATCTGCCAACTGAATTCACAAGTGAAGACAGAAAATGTCATCAATTCTGTAACATTCTTGTAAATTTTATTTTAATTTTAGCAATGCAAACCAGGAAAAAAACTTTTTAATAATCAGCATTGACTATAATACTTGTATGGAATGATTAAACACAAGCATTTTACTTTTATATAATGTGCTAATGAATGCATATGAATTTTAATACTTTTACTGTTCAGATTTTAACAAGCATATTGACAGATCATTTTAAAAGCATCTGGTTTTTAATGTGTTGAGTGGAGGATTGAGTAAAATAGCTAAATATGTACATACATCCTTTTAAAAAACATATTTCTATCCTTAGTTATAAACATTACCATTTTTTCTTAGACCACCAGAGGCTGCTCTGTACATATGGGCTAATTCTTTTCCCCCAGAAATTTCCTACCCTAACCAGCCTTCATTTGTTGCTGAAATAAACTGAGAATTTGTTGCTCTCTAACCTTCTCCTGTGGAAACAGATCATGCATGCTTAAATGTGGCGTGATCATTCCTTCCACTCTCAGCCATCTCCCATTCTCTACAGATTTCCACACTGACGGTGTCTTTTCAGTGTTAGAAGATACTTAAAAATCTAATTAGTATTTTCCCCCTTCTAAACTGCATTCACCACTTAAACAAGTATACTAAGTGGATTCTGAAATGTTATGTAAAAAAAGTATAAATTGCTCAATTTGACAGTAATTTGCAATAATGTTGTTGCCCCAACAGTTGAAGGATATCAGAGGCAACCAAGGAAGAAGTCGGAAGAATTACTTTTATCAGACCAACTAATGGGGTCAGGTTTTGTGGACAAAAGGGATAAGCCTTTCCAAAGCCTGTATGCTCGGAATTTTGTCCTTTTTCTTCCCCACTGAGCTTATCTGCTTGAATAATTCTTATTACAAATATTATTTTTACTATAGCACAGTCTATAGCAGTGCCATTTCTATTAACTGCATATTAATGAAATTAATTTTGAAAGTAGCATACTTTTCAGAAATAATTTTTCCTGTCTTCTGTGAGAAATTAAGTAGGAAAAGATCATGTGCAACCGGTTAATCTGTTTTACTAAAAATACATCTGGGCAATTTGTGTCAGGATCTAGGAAAAAAGTGGTAAAAGTTGTTTTAATACACAGTTAAGTAAGCAGTGACCATTGGCAGACAGGAAATCCTGGCAAGGGTGCGAGCACAGTTGTGCCATTTCTGCTCATTGTTTGGTGTGGCTGACGTGAAGCGCAGCCTGACTGGAGGTCACAGCAGAGTGTCTGCTTTTGTGGGATGACCTTTCAGAGCCATGGATTTATTTCACACTGAGGACTGAGCTGTTTCTCCGCATAGCCACAGTCCCACCAGCTGCCACTTTCACCCTGTGGCCATCTCCAGGCCAATGACCTACCCTCTGCCTTGGCAAAGTGCACACCTGCTCTTGTCCAAAGCCTGTGTGACTACATTAGCCTGCTGCTGAGGCAAAGCTAATAAGCTGTTTATTCCACCAGAGACAAAATGACAAGCTCTGGGTGAGCAGCTCCTGAGAGGTAAGGGACATGTTCAGCACAGGGAATGTCTGTGGCAAACACGGGCATCAGGACTTCAGCCTCTAGAGTCTCATGCTGTTGTTTTGTTACCCCTTTTACAACAGCCAGTGTTACTTTATATGTACACGTCTGAAATACCACAGGGTTTTACTCTGCCCACTTTTAAAGCCTGTTACTTCCTTATGTTCTTGAGAAGTCTCCTTCACCTTAAGCAACAGCAAAATCAAATGCTGATAGTAAAAAGCTCCTGAGAACTGCCTAGAAACTACCGTGGCGTTGTTCTTGTCCCATATAGTGCTGGACACTGGGCATTCTGAGTTGAGAAGGCACTGCAGTTCAAATGCTGAACATAAGCATGCAGTGACATTTTGATTGCTCCAGGAAGACCTTGAGAGATATGGTCTTGCAGAACCTGTGCCACCAGAGACCTGCACCACCCTAGGCCAGCAGCTGGAAGCCAAACATCTACTATGACACTAGTACCTGCAGTTAGGCTACCACATCGTTCCTAAAAAGTCAGATAAGCTTTAAGTTCTTACAGTAGTTTCTGTAAATCAGGAAGAATATGTATGTGTTATGTATCATTCTACAGGTACTGCAATGAACAGGCATCT